AACCATGTTTAGTGTAAACTATCCTTTGCAGCATTTGCAGCAGTAATTTGATTGGTTGCAAAGATCGATAACCAACTCAAAAGAACTCAAGGAACTCAAAGAATTCCGTTCTAAAAACAAAGTATTTCCTTAAAATTTTAACGTATAAGCATGGCTTACAGCTTGATTGATGATGTACTTAAAAGATTTAAAACCGATAATCTTGTCGATTTAAATACTTTTTATGAAACTTTATTCGATACATTTATTTACAACAATAACAAAATGGTTAGTAACGAAGGTCTTTTAAGTCGTTTTATTGATGGCACAATAAGAAGAAATATATATGCCGAATTTGTATCCCTTCTTACTTAAAAGACAATAAAATGCATTGTATTGCTCTAAGGTAAGTCAATTTACTTTTTTTTCATAAATAATTATCTTATTGTATTTTATTACAAAATTTAATACTTTTTTGTAAAAATATTTATTGTTAATACTTTTTTGTAAAAATATTTATTGTAAAAATATTTATTGTTAAAATCTCGTTGACTAATCAATATTTAATAATTGTCAACACCGTCAAGTGATTTTGACATGTATGAATATAATATGTTCATGATGTATGTATTAAACTCCTACATGTCAAAATCGTTTGTTGGTTTGTCTGAATTCTTGACTATTGATTTGATTTATGAATTTGTTTAAAAAGCAAAGATTTTTTACTCAATTTTAATTTTATTGATAAAAGAAGTTTAGCTCTTAAAAACATGAAGTAAATATATATTTTTTTTTCTTAAGGTCTGAAGCATCTGGAAGTTGTATGTATAGCTCTGCATCATTATTTTTTGTTGCTGACAATACACTGATGGATGTGTTAAGAGTTTTAACATCCCTTGAAATTTATATACATGCTGATTATTACTGTAAGCATTCTTTAATTTCAAAAATATTTTCTGATTATAGTTCTCATTTTATTAATCTCAAAATTTTGTTGTGTATGTCAGTATTTTATTCTGCATTAGATTCTGGCTTCGAAAATAATAATATTATTAAAGCTGAAGGAATTGCAAACTGTGAGAGCACAGAGAAATGGGCTGGTTTTTTATGTTTGTTAGGTTTATCATCGGTTCTTTCTTGTAATATTGTTTCCTGTTACCCAGATTTTGGTGTTGAAAAGTATAAAATATTTTTTTTAACCAAGAGATCTCATCACTTACTCCCATTAAATTAAATCGTCTAATGTCCAATTAATTTCAGAGTTTTTTAATAAAGTTCGCGAACTTTCTTATTTTTTTAATTATTCAGAAAATAGACAAAAGTTTTTAGAAGCTAGCATTTTAGAGCGAGAACCTCAAACGCATAAAAAAAAAAAAAAAAAATATCTGTAGAACTAGATGGATTGAGCGTATAGATGGTTTAAACACTTTTCTTGAGCATTATTTATCTATTTTCCATGCTTTATGTATCATGGCTTCCCTTGAGAGTTCTGTTAACAAAGACACACAAAGCAAATCTTCTACTTTTTAAATTCCATTGGCACTTTTCAATTCGTCTTTACTTTAGTTGTGACAACACGTGTCTTTGATTTTACTTTACTTGTTATCGGTTACTGCAATCAAAAACTATTGATATCTTAGACGTTTTGTACCTTATTACAGCTCTTAAAAGTACATTTATTTCCATCAGAAACGATATAGATAGTTTTCATAATAACTGCTATGAAGCAGCATGTTTGCTTTCAAGTAAAGGTGAAATTTTTGTTTTAAAACCAAGAACCTGTTCTATTCAAAAAAATTGTTCTAATGTTCTATCAGAGTCTGTTTCAGAATACTTCAAAAGAGCTGTTACTATCCCTCTTATAGATCATGTATCTACATCTATATCTACAAGATTTAAATCAGAAACTGTAGCTGCATATAAAGGGTTATCAATTATTCTATTTAATATTATTTCTTTTCTTAAAAGACCCAAAACCCAATTGTGTTGGAGGAAGCAGTTTGAAACATTCTGTGATTTTTATATAGATGATTTCCCTAATATCAGTGCCTTGAATGGGGGACTAGTTCTTTGGGAAAAATACTGGGAAAGTTTCTCTGGGACTATTCCTGACAATATATCTTTAACTCTTAAATCGATATCATTTCCTGGATTTGAAAATATTAAGATAGCTTTAAGGATACTTGGGACACTTCCTGTTACTTCATGTGAGTGTGAGAGGAGTTTTTCTGTTATGCGTCGGTTAAAAGTCTATATGAGAACAACAATGTCAGAAGATCGACTTAACGGTTTGGCATTAATGTATATCCATCAAGAAATTGTTCCTTGTATTCATAATGTTATCAATAGATTTTCTATAAAAAATAGACGACTTGATTTCAATGATTAGTGTCTATACTGTTTATTCTATAACACACCAACAACTTTTGAAATTTTTGTCTATTATCACCTCTATTCATATAACAGCTAACAAATAGGCATGGAAACACCTGGAAAGGCCAAGAATTCAATAGTGTCCTTAACAGGACGGTTTAAATGTAACCCCATACTTTTGTTTGGGATTAGCTATATGATTAGTGATCATAGTTCAGGCAAACATTAACCATCTCTTTTTGACAATCTCTTTATATCATTTTCTAGCAACAAAATAAAAAATTAAAAAAATTATTTTCAATAAATTTTCTCTCAATCAACCTAATAATATTCATAAATTTTTGTGCCATTTAAATCAGTTTTTTGCTGTAGTTGTCAAAACCATTAGCTTTCTTTTTATTTCATCAAAAATGATCTTCTTTTATGTTGTATATAAATCCATTTGTATTTTTGTCATTCTCTTTTCAGTTCTTATTTTTTCTTTCTCTGATTGTCCATGTCCGGAATAAATATGTTCCTAGACATGCTGATGAGCCCTGATATTGGGCGAAACAATCATTTGTTGGTTTATATATTTATTATATATTTTTATAGAAAAAAAGTTTCAAAGTAAAACTAAGATATGAGCTTCTCAATGAAATAGCAAAAAGAAAATCCCTTTAAATCCTCCAGCCCAAGGGCAGGAGGATTTAGGGGATACATAGGGGGCAGGCTATGGGAACGACGGCCTCCCTTAGATGTTTTTTTTATAAGAATATTTTGTAAAAACGTAAGTAAATTTGGTAGGCTGTTTAAAAGTGGCAAAAAATTGTGTAGTCTAAATTCTTTTTTTTTTGGGCTTGCCTGCTTAAAAATCGTTAAACCTGTAAATTACCCCCTTTAATCGTTTGGATCGAATGAAAAGAAAATTTGCCCCCCCCCCTTTACTACATAGTCTTACTTGTTCCTCCTCCCCCCCCCCCCCCTGATTTTTTCTATTTGCTTTGTGGGCGTAGTTGCGTCACTTACAACATGGCGTAAGACGCATTTTTTTGACGGGGTAAATTAAAAACCTGCGTCCGCCCCTGGATTAGTATTTTTATAGTTTAGGATTTCATATTTTTTGGTGAGACATAATTTACAAGATTTGGATGTAGGATTATATGCTTTACATCGCCTGAGAATTTTCCACTTAACTATAGGAACTAAATTGGCTTTTTTTATTTTCCATACCTGCTTTGACAGCTCAGTATCATTTTTGTATTTTGGGATGTTAAAAGATTTAACCTGGTTAGCGTATCTCAATTTAAAAGAAGTCTCACTTACACCGATGTAGGATTTTTCGTTAGGAGATGAATCACTAGTGGTGGTTACAGTTGCTTGGTATACAATGTTGCATGTTAAACATCTATTGGACAACGGGCAGAAATTTTTATCTAAGCAGTTTCAATTTTCTTGGTTAGAGTTTGTATCGTTGTATAAAATGTATTTGTTGTGCAAATTTATGATTGATTTCACACTTGGCATACAACTGTAGCTAACTTTGACTGTGTTCCTGTAAAAGATTTTATGTAGTTTGTTATTATTAGGAAAATGTTTGCCAATTAATTTCAAAAAACATTTAGCAAAAATGTTAGCACAAACGTGGGAAAATGTTTTTTGAAATTAATTACTTACACTAATGCCACCTCTCTTAATCCACCAAAACTGATCGAACTCTCCTTACTTGCAGAAACCAATTTCTTTGATATTATTTTTATCACTGAAACATGGTTTACTGAAAAATCAACTCCCACTCTTTTAAACTATAACCTCTATTGATCAGACCGTCTCAACCGTATTGGAGAAGGTGTAGCCATCTACATAAACAACAAGCTCGTCTCAAACCAACTTGAAGATTCCCAACTATACAAAGATTTCATTTGCTACTATTCAGAACATCTGTGAATTGAACTAAAGCTTCCAAACGAAACTCTGCTTTTAGGCTGTATTTACAGGCCTCCATTTTCTGGTACCAAAACCTTCTCTGAAATTTCCAATGCTTTCCTTCATGCCAAAACAACAATATTAACTAAAAAATACAATGGCATCATTATTGCTGGTGACTTCAATTTCCCAGAGATTACTTGGACTTCCAATTCTGTTATCTCCTCTACCCAATATGGTCTCAGTTCATTGTTTATTTTTCTTGTTCAAGATTTGTATCTATATCAAATCATCACTGTCCCAACTTTCAAACCTGCTCATCGTCCGATGACAAAAACTCTCGATCTCATCTTTTGCGACTCTTCTGATCGTGCTAATGAAATCAACACCGGTCCTCCACTCGGCTTGTGTGAACAGTATCATTGCTCCATCACTTGTCAATACAAACTGGCTTCTAGTGACTAATCATCACATTTCAACAGCTCTAAACTCATTTACAAGCTTGGCAACTACAAAAAAATCAATGAAGAATTCAACAAAATTGACTGGTCATCTGTCTTTAAAAACTTAAACGTGGAACAATGTTACCAGTTTTGGCTCAACAAATACAATGAATGCTGTCTTCGATTTATCCCATGTATGCCAAACAAACCATATCGCAAAAAACAACCATGGATGACAAAAGAACTTTTATCTCTGATTCGTCTTAAAAAGTCACTATGGGCCCGCAATGTCAGCTCAAAATGGAAAATTGTATCCCTGGTTTTGTAGAGAAAAAGGCATGTGTCACAAATCTGCTTGAAACAATGGACTTTTTGACCGCGAACATGGCCAGAAAACTACCAGTTGATGTCGTATTCCTGGATTTTGCCAAAGCATTAGACAAAGTACAACATCAACGGTTGCTCTATAAACTAAAAATGTATGGAATCAAAGAAAATTTTCTTAATTGGATTAAAGCTTTTCTAACCAACAGATCTCAACGAGTTATCCTTGGTAACACTCAGTCGAATTGGTTACCAGTGTCTAGTGGTGTTCCGTAAGGTTCAGTCTTGGGTCCAGTTTTATTTGTCATTTACATCAATGACCTACCAGATGTCATAAGCAAAAAAAACATTTGTAAAATTTATGCTCATGACACTAAAATCCTTAGCGTTGTCAATACACTTGCAGCTCAGCTTCAATTGCAATCAGACATTGATGAAATTGTTCTTTGGAGCAAGTCTTGGCTCATGGAGTTAAACGTAAAAAAATGCAAAGTCATGCAGCTTAGTCAAAAAAATTCAATTCCCTTCGAGTACTCAATGGAAGAAACTGGCTCTAATTCGATAGTAACGCAAACAAATTTGGAAAAAACCACCTCTGAACGTGACTTGGGAATCCAAATTACTAATGATCTCAAAGTGGAAAGCCAATCCATCATCGCATCATGTAAAGCAAACCAAATGCCTGGTATTTTAAAACATACCTTCGAATGTCGTGATGCTTCTCTGTGGAAACAACTATACTCCACCTATGTCCGTCCTCTACTTGAAATTGCTATATCAGCTTGGAACCCTCATTTGGTGAAAGACGAACAAGTTATTGAGAAAATACAACACAGAGCCACAAAGCGCACAAATTGAAAAATTTAAACTATCAGTCTAGATGTGAAAAACTTGGCCTCACATCTCTAATTGACCGCTGTAAACGAGGTGACCTCATTCAGAAATTTAAAATTGAGAAAAACATTAACATAATTAACTGGCATTTTCCTCCTATTACAATTCCGCCGAGAGCTAATCACAGAGAGAGATTTCACCGGGAAAAATATAACAACAATTTAACTCGTTTTAATTTTTTTAATAACCGAATTGCCAACACATGAAACAGCTTGCCAGATAATGTAGTCTACTCTTTATCTGTCAACAGCTTTAAAGCGAGACTTGATAGACTTCAAAGTTACAAAAGCTCGCAATTCCCTTTGATGGAAGTTGCATTATGAGCTTCACAAATGTTATCTATGATTTGACAATCTACATTTGTATTCTGTCAATTGTCTTATATACTACTACTACTACTACTACTAATATATATATATATATATATATATATATATATATATATATATATAGGTATTGTGGTTTATTCTCCTCCAGCTAATTGCCATACGGAGGCCACATTACCAAGGACCGCAAAGACAAGTTTAGCAAATAAATAGCGTCATTACCTGCTCTACGGACCAAGAGTAAAGTGAGTTTAGGAAGAATGAAGAATGTTGGAGTTAAAGACAGAAGAAGTCGTGTTAGAAAGATAGCATACAGAAAGCGGACAGGATTGCACACGATGTTAGAGGGTGCAATATGTTACTATACACGTAATTGGCTTAAGCCAATTAATGTATGCAAAGTTGACAACGCTTGATCATTGGAACGAAAATCATGTTTGTGTTGATTGTGGTTTGATATTTTAAGACGGAAGATTTATTTAAGTTGTATAATTTTGCAATAGCAATGTTTGGTCGCATACATAGGATCAACGGTTATATCGTAAAAACAATCATTTTGTGATGTATTTACATACATTGAATCAACGTTGATTTATGTACATTGAATCAACGTCAAAATATATACATTGGATAAACGTTGGGTTTAGATCGTAAAAACAACCAATTTTTTGCAATGTTTTTACATACATTGGAAAAACATTGATTTATATACATTGAATCAACGTCGAAATATATAAATTGGATCAACATTAGGTTTAGATTTTAAAAACAATCAACTTTTTGTAATGTTTTTCAGACATTGGAACAATATAAATTTGCCAGATATTTTTAGTTTCGTCGGTAATAATTTTATCATGAACCAAATGACATTGGGTCAACATTGGTTTTGCATTGGAAAAAAGAGCCGACGTTCGAAATAGTTTTACATACGTTGGCCAAATGTAAATATTCTAGCTGGGATGCAGATGATATCACATGGAGATGTTGGTTATGCTACATCAGTACAAGTAAAAGTGCATCCATCGAAGGTTAGGACCAGAAGTTCCACAAGTAGTAATCTTCCTTTATTAAACAATAATGTTGCATCCAATCTATCAACATCCTCAGAAACTTCTGACAATGATACTAACGACTGTGATTATACTGTTGAGATTCCTGCTAAAGCAAGAAAAAATAAATGTTTTACTACAAAAACTGCACTTCAACTAGTAAAACGGACTAATATAAGTTCCTCATAGTCAGTAAAAATTTGCAAACAACTATCAGATCACAGTACCACATCCCTACACCAACTCAACGTGTCAGTTATAAGAAATCTATAAAAGAATCACAGAAAAATCAGCAGAACTTTGAAGAAACCCTTAAAAATGACAATTGGGTTTTGCACTTTGATGATAAAAAACTTAACAATCAAGAAATGCAAGTTGTTGTTTTAAAAAATCAGAACCGTGAAGTTTGCTTAGCTGCTTTGATTCTTAGTGATGGGAAAGCAATAACACTTTTTAATGGAACAATTTAGGTATAAGGCTAATATCAATTACGGGAAAGTATTAAAATTATAATATGTGATACCACAAGTGTCAATACTGGAGTAAGAAATGGAAATGTTGTAATGATCTAAAAGAAATTTAAAGAAAATATATACATACATATATATATATATATATATATATATATATATATATATATATATATATATATATATATATATATATATATATATATATATATATATATATATATATATATATATATATTAATTGCCAATATAAAGATTAGGAAGTTTTAATGGAATGTTACATACATATATATATATATATATATATATATATATATATATATATATATATATATATATATATATATATATAATCAGATATTATAGATTATCTATTTATCATATATTTATTTTCTGCTATTATATTATTTATCATAAGATTATCTATTGCTTATTATCATAAAGAAGGTTTTTGAATTCATTAGTTTTCACACATTCTTGCTATTTTTGCCAGTCAGTCATTGTTTCTTTATTATTTCCAGGTTTTGGAAATCTTATTAAAAAAAGTAACCTATCAATATATCTTGAATCTGATCTGCAAATTCCCCAACAACAGTGCTTCGTAGAATCTTTTCTCTCCATGTTAATGAAACTATTTGCCCGAATATTCAAGTCAGGTATGGTTATCCTGCTACTGATAACATGTCCCCCATTACAACCTTCTTCATCTCCGCCTGACTTAAAGGATACGTTTTTTAGGCAAAAGCTAGGAGAAGCCAACTTCACTTAAAACACTACCTGCCTAAGAGCTCATGGTTGTGTAAAGACTAGGGATGGTATCTCGATAAAAATATTCATCTTAGACAGATATTAAACGCTTTCGGCTAATGTCTTGTAGAAAGCCTTCTAATCAAAGACTTAAGGGGTAAACAAGTTCTATCTGTTGACCAGTTTTGCATTCCTTTTTTATCGATTAAGCTTACGCAGTATTAAATAATAATTAAAACATTGTTTCCAGTTTAGGATGTTAAATGCTGGATCTTCTTGACTCAATACATGGGTTTTTCTTGTAACTCTGTTTTTATCAATAGGCAACTCATTTAAAAAAAATTAAAACTGCTTCCAAGTTTTAAAAATACATGCATATCTCCAGATTTAACAGATGCTGAACGTTATAATTTAATACTTATAACAGAGCAAAATAAACTGAATAAGAATCTTAAGAAGACAGTTCTTTTTAAAAGACATTTTACGCTCTGGTTTTAGCTTTGTTACGTAACTAACGGGTTACAACTAAAAAACGGTAATAACTTTGAAGGAGCATAACTCCCTTGGTTCAAGAGATAAAAACTTAAAATAAAAAAGAAAGAAATAGTATTTTAGTTGGGTAAATTATTTGCATAATAATTTTTTTAATCAAACTATTGCTTTTTATATAGTCTAATTGGCGCAGAATTGACTTAGAAAGGCGCTGTACAAGGGATTTTTTCATTTTGGAAAGGCAATACTTTATTCTCTTGCGCAAAAACCTGAGATTATCACCTAATTATTCTTATACACTTTTTCTTTGAGAATATTCAAAAAATTCTCAATCGCACGACATTCAGCCTCATTTGAAGAGTTATCTTCACTTTTGACAAAAATGATTTTTTTCTTATTTATGTAGTTTTGTACAGATTTTGCGTAATGAGGCGATGCTAGATTAAGCCAAAATATATATTCGCCATCAGAATGATGCTTTTTGATAAATGGAATTAGTTTGTTTTGATACAATCATTATTGTAGACTACTTGGTTGATTGCAAAGCTACTTTCTCTGAATATTGGCAAAGATATTCCTTTATAAAAGCAAATCCAAACGAGTAATTTCTTTTCATATTTTGCGGTAGGGTTGTTGGTGTTTAAGAAACATCACTTGAAAAATAAATATTATTTCCATTAATTAAAGAGTGGTTAAATGTGAAGTACGACTCGTCAATCAATGATGATGGAACAATTTACTGGCGGAAATTCGATGCAACTGACAACACTTCGTTCGAGTTGTCTCTATTTGGCCATAAATTCCTAATGGAATCTTCTTCTTCTTTAGCCTGATTAAAGACTTTGTTTTTAATGTTTTGCTGATATATACTTGGGTGCACTTAAATTTCCGAGCTGTTTGTCTTTGCAATATCTCAAACTTTGTTTTACGTCTTTCAACGTTCCTTTTTGTCTTAATTTTAGCAATGCTACCACTTCCGGGGACTCTCTGGTGCCCATAATTATTTTCAGCGTATCAAAAAATGGTATAGATAGTGTTATAGTCTTCCTATCTTCCTATATGACAATAAATTGCGGTGTTCCCCAAGGTTCAATTCTGGGTCCTCTTTTATTTCTTATTTATGTAAACGATTTTCATAAGTTTTCAAACATTTTAAACTCTGTTTTATTTGCAGATGACACGAATTTATTTTACTCTAATGGAGATATTAAACTTTTATTTAAAATAGTAAACAAAGAACTTTTAAATCTAGCGGAATGGTTCAAGGCGAACAAATTGTCCTTAAATTTAAATAAAACAAAGTATACTTTTTTTTATAGAGTTCACGATAAAGAAAACATTCCACTAAAACTTCCTAATCTTTATATTGGCAACTCTAAAATAATTAGAGAGTCATCAATAAAATTTTTAGGAGTGATACTTGATGAAAACTTAGCATGGAGAGAACACATAAGTATAATAGAAAATAAAGTTTCAAAAAATATTGGTATACTATTCAAAGCCAAGCAGTTTTTAAACCAAAACTGCCTAAAAATTTTATATTCTCCCTCATACATTGTTATATAAACTATGCAAACATTGCCTGGGGCAGCTCTAATATAAGCAAAATTAAAAAACTGCTTAGTAAACAAAAACATGCTGTCAGAATTATTTCAAATGCAGGTCGATTCACACGTACTAAAGAACTATTTAATAATCTCCACATACTCAATGTTTTTCAGTTAAACCTTTATCAAATTCTTATTTTTATGTACAAACTTCATAATAAAATATCACCTATAATATTTAGTACACTTTTCAATAAAATTAATCACATGTACCCTACAAGATTTTCTAAGTACAATTATGAGCAACCTAAAATGCATTATTTGGCTACCAAATTTTCTATTGCTATAAGAGGTCCTAAATTATGGAACGCTTTATTAAGTGACGAGCTGAAAAATTGTTTTTCTCTTTACCTATTCAAAAAAAAATTGAAACAAAAACTTATTAACGATGTTAATGAGTTAAATTATTTTTAAAAATTTTTTATTTTTATTTTTTCTTTATTTTTAACAATTATCTTATTAACTCTATAAACTATCCTATTAGCTTATCTATAGTTTTGATTTTTTTTTTTATTTTTTTTTTAATTTCTTTTTACTATTTTCTTTTGATTATAGATTAGTAACTAGTCTTAACATACTTGTAAATAATTGTATATAATTTTTTAAATGACACAAAGTAATTGTATATTTAACTTTTAATGGTTGTACACGCTTGCTTATGAAAGCACGTCGGGGTGTAGTGATAAGGCAAGTATTGTCTTCTTTTAACCCCGGTCATGTAGATCTTATTTATACTACACGGCATTGTATTCTTTTTTTTTTACTGACGAAATAAATAAAAAATAAATAAATAAATAAATTATAAGAAATTTTTTAGCAAGAAAGTGATCAACTGTGAACGTTTTGCCTTAAGATTTTTAAATAGAAGCTGTACAATCGTCCTCGACGGGGGTTCTTGTTTTTCTTTTCTCTGTAACAATAAATTATTTTAATTGAAAATAAAACAAGTTTTGTAGAAAATTGAAAATTTTGCAAACTAGGTAATATTGCAAACATAATTAATATAAAGTATGTTACATAACTTTGTCTTCAAAGTCATTATCGTTTTTTAAATATAGCCCATTATTTATATTTTACTTCGCGTAAAAGATAAATAATTACGTAAGTCATATAATATTGTTACAAATATACATAAATAAATACTTTCTTTTTTAAAAATATAATACAAAAAGTTACTAGGGAATAGATAAAGAGAAAGTTATATAAAATAATAAAAATAGAAAAAAATGTTTTGAAATTATAAAAGAAAAAAAAAAAAAGTTATTGGCCTAAAGCAAAATCAATAAGGTTCTTAACACCGTCATTTAAAAATATATATATATACATAATGATTGAACAAAGCGACAGGTTGCAAAGACAAACTTTAAAAAATTTGAAAAAGTTTATCTATACCACTTAGATAACTTCATAAGAAATCACTCTCTCCGTTCCTAAGCATTAGCTTCCATTTTGCTTTGAATTTGTTAAGAGTTTAAAGAGTTTTAAGTTTATTAGAAATTTTTCATTCCAAATTTTTGGTATTTTTGTGTATCTTGTTTAGTATCTGTGCTTATTTATTATAAATAATGAATTAAAAAATGTTGAGAATTAAATAGAAAATAAAAAATAACTTTGAACATAAAAAATAAAATACGATAAATGTTTAGTTGGACATTAAGTATAATAGTCTAATATGTAATATAAGTCTAATAGTGTAATACTCTATAAAAGTCTAATATGACTTTAGTAATAGTTACAATCTAATAGCTTTATGATTTTATTAATTGATGAGATTAATAAAATCATAGAGCTGTTAAACCTTTTAGACAAGTAAGTTTGCATTTGTCGACTAACTTGTCTAAAAGGGTTAAATTTGACTCTTACACACACCCACACACCCCACAACCCATCAAAAATCCCACCACCACCACCCACCCCCATCGCGCTGGTCTTGAAAGTAATCAACATTTTAAACAATAAATAAATCTGATGAAAACATTTTATATTCACAACTCAATCATCATTAACCCAGTCATCATTGCCAGTGCTAGTAATTTATTTTAAGAAACATATCAAAAGGTCATTTGATACTGTGTTTTAATTTTGCTGTTAAAAATAAATAAGATCCCATGATCGTAAAAAATTGTAAAATATATCTCGTGATTGTTATATTTTTAAACAGCAAAATATATTAATAAAATAGTAATCTCGTTTTCCGCTTTTAAAACTATGTTCAAAAACTGGCAACATGTTTAAACTTATTCATAAAAATACGTGAAAGGTCTAACATAAAAAAAGAAGAATTATTTACAACAATAGTAAATAAAATATACGAAAACATATAAAAAAAAAAAATACAAAGTCTATGGCTTTGATAAGATTCGATCGCTCGTGTTCAATTTTTCACGAAAAATGTTGAGCGTGTTGTTGCTGCCGATCTTGTCAATACTTTTAAACTGTCTTTTAAAAAGTGCATAAAGTTCTTTCCGAAATTCCATTCCAGAAACACAGTAAAGTATAAAATTATTCGAAGAGTTTATCACAATGCCTAATATTCCAAAGTGATGAAACAGATCGTAAGTTTTACTACCATTCAAATCATTGCTCTCTGACTCGATTATCCAAAAACATTGTGAAGCACATTGCCACATCAAAAATATCAAAAAGTTTATAGAGACCGTCATTAGTATCAATGTTGTTTTTTTTTCTTGAGACAAAAGCAATCTTTTTGTCCTTTCTCTTGGTCCTATTTTTTGGCATAGTTTATAAATGATTAAAGAATTTAAAACAGATATTATTAAAAAAGGAGAAAATAATAAAAACATACAGTGCACTCCAAACTCATAAGAGTGAAATGATTTTATTTGTGTTTGATTGAACACTTCATAAACCGAACTATTACTTATAAACAATGTTTGGTAGTTATAAAAACGAGGTATATTCAAAACAAGTGAAAGGAAAAAAACTACAGAAATGATTATGTAGGTGTTTGTAAGACTATTAAGGCGTTTCGAACGCAAAGGAAACAATACAGCTATAAGGCGATTTAATGTTAGAAAAACAACTATCCATACACTTGAACAAAAATACCAATAAAACAATGGAATTCCAACATGAGTATAGAAAAAGGTATAGCTACCGTAAATAATATTTGGCATGAGCGTTTGTAATCCTTCAGTGCTTAAAAACAAAACTAATAAGCAAGAGTCTGTTACGTTTAAAGTAATTAAATATACACCAGCACTTTTTCTATCGTTGCACCTCTTACGATTGATTCTTTTCCAAATAGCAACGGATACCAAATTTCCTAACAATCCAAAAAAAGAAAAAATAACTCCAATGTAAATTGTAAAATTGTGATTTATGTCTGTTAAAGTGTCAGCCTCGCTATAGAAAAATTTATAAAAATGGAGCATTTTGTTTTCGTCACGTTGTAAACTCTTCTTTAATCTAGTTATTTTAACGCGTTTATCTTCATTTTAATTTTAAATATAAATTACTATAAAATATTTGCAAGCAGTTACGTAAATTAATTCAGTTATTTAAAATTTGAATTGTATTTATATTTTCTGAAGTTTCCGTTAATTTGAATTTTAAATTAACGGACACTTCAGAAAATATAAGTACAAGTACGCAGTAACGGTAAAAGAAATTACTGCGACAACAATAACAGGAAAAATAATTACAAAAAAATAATAGTAATAAATGTGTCTCATCAACTAATTAAAAATCACCAAAGTTATATAGTATCTGAAAGATATCTATATAAAAGGCTATCTAAAAGAAGAAATCGAAAGAATTGTGACATACAAAAATTACATAAAAAAGGAAACTAAAAAAGTGTGGAATGTAAAATTTATTTATCTTAGTAAAATTTATCTATCTGAGATTATTAAACCGCTTAAAATTTCATCTGAAAAAAGATTGTGACACTGACACTGACATGTAAAAGTGTGACATGTGACAAGACACTGACATGTAAAAAGTAGAGACAGAAATTATAGAGAAAAGTAAAGATTATACAAAAATTATAGAGAAAAGCAGAGAGTATATTGATTTCGTCAAATACTGAATATTTGGCTAAGCACTTGACCAAAGTACTAAACATTAGGGTATTAGGGTATATAAATATTCGGTCAACACTTAGTTAATTTTGAAGGTTCCGACCTGCTTTATTGAATTTATCTTTTATGATTGGCCGTTTCACAGCACGCATTATATTTTAACTGTAACATTAATTTGTTTTAACTATTCTGTATAAAAGAACTCATACTCATCAAACCATTCAAAAAGATTACAAAAATAACCAGCTCAGGTATTTCTTGCGTTTATATGGTAATTTAAGAGGTTGGTAATAATAGATATAGGACAAAGAACTCTAAACTTATAAAAAATGATAGCTTTACTTAAACATGAACTTTAATGGGTTTAATTAATGGTTTAACTTTAATGTTAATTATACAATTATGCCTTTGTTTTTAGATTAACGTTTCAGCAGAAATTTTAAGAGATTAGTTAAAACACAACGATCAAAACTTTGAGAGCTCTGAAAAAACTAAGCCAGTGAAGTGTTCTCTCAGTGAAAGGCTGTTTGACACCGATGAACCATGACCTATGCCAAGTAGCACCGGCGATAATTTGTCTCCACTTTGTAAGCAAAGATTATGTAAATGAAAACGATCAAATCTATCTCTATAAAAAATATGGACACATGTGAAAATATGTGAAAATGTGAAAAAATAATTCTGATTGCAAATGAAATTTTTCATGAAATTGTTCTCTTAAATTGGAAAACAAACCCTCACAAGTTGTGGTCAGCAAGTGCAAAAAATTATCCTATGCAATATGTACACATGTTTGGATGGAAAGTTTTTTTGAAGGTTTTTTTTTTTTTTTGAAGAATCTTTTAAATAAATTATTGACAAATCAAAATTGAAAATTTGTCAAACTTTTAAAAACACCTGAGTAACATCGTCAGCAGTTACAAAATTATCAAGCTGAACAAGTTGTTTTATATAGGGATCTACTAAAAGTGTTCAATAAAGTGGATATTTAAAAGCATATATTTTTAAAAGTACGCACGCTATAAATTAAATTTTTTTTTATATATAGGAGAAGAAGGGGGTTCAATTAGAAGTATGCATAGCAATAGAGGGAAGGAGAGGTCAAATTTCTAAATACTTGGCGTAAACACTTTATGGGTAACCCCTAAATAGCTATATTCCAGAAGAAAAAAATACTAAAAATTCTCAATGCTAAAAAAAGTATTTAGCTTTTTGAGAAGAGTGACCGCTTAGCGGCAGTTTTACTCTACAAAACTTTTTTTTTTTAATTAATTTTACACTGACAAGTCGAATTGGTCATATAAATCTAGAAAATAAACTTCAAAATAATATTATTAATATTTTAGTTTTAACAAAATTTTTTTTTTTTAGAATGATATTTTAAATATTTTAATATTAACGAACTTTTTTTTGTCAGTAGTTACCCTTACGCATTACAATTACGTAACGTAGATATTTTTTTTCCTGTTAGTTTTGTTGCACTTTTTTGAATATCTGAATATGCGTTGCAATTTTTTTGTTGTTGTTGTTGTTGTTTTAGCAATATTAAAACGTTAATCTATATTGAAAAAATTACAACTTATAAAAGAAAAATTAACAAGTTTGCTATTCAACTATTTAAAGATTTCTGTTGACTTCTATCGGCAGAGGAGTGGGACAAGGTATACCATAAACGCAATCTTTGACACACTATCTTTGCTTAAAAAAACTTTGAAGAAATTTTCCTAAAAAAACTATAGTATGCACTTCCTAATTAAAGTAACATTAATAAAAGAAAAAAATTTAAAATGTCCCTGGATCACCAAAGGTAATTACAAAAAAAAAAAAAAAAACTTTAGATTAAATAGTTAAAAAATAGAAATGAGGTAGAAAATGAGGTAAAACCTAAATGTTTACAACCAGTATAAAAACTTTTTTGAAAAACTTAAAAAAAATGCAAAGAAA